TCTTTTTCTTCTCGTTATATGTAGGAAGAAAGAAATAAAAGAAATGAAGAATCAAAGACTATCTGTATAGAAAGAGAATGACTTTCAGTTGATGAGACATGATTTCAAATGCAGACTCAGTCTCTTCTGTGTGATCTTAAATGGAGGAATAATTCTGTTTGACCACTTGTGGGGAAGCTTAACTAAGATTATGATCAGGTGCCTGGCATGGAAACCTGAACATAACAGGAGCTCTACAAATGTCATTCATTTTTTCCATGTCTTCATTGATTCAACACATATGCTCTGAGCAGCAAATTTTGTGCCACAGATAATGTAGTAGTCAGCATAGGCCGCATGAAGCTGCAGGAAGGAACACCCCTCCCCATCTCACTAAGTTTACTTATCTCACTAACTCAAAGTCTGCTGCATGTTGAGGTGGCTTTGCCTCCACGTGGCAGCCCAGACCGCTTTACTCATTTACCGTAATGATCTTAACACAAGACCTCCCCAGGGATCACTGCACCTGAGAAAGTACTATCCAGGACTTAGATACTGGGTCCAGTATCTTAGTTACTTCCACCGAAAGTGACACAAATCAGTCAGCTCGCAACCCACTGACCAGAACTAGATCTGTGGCCTCCCCTACTGGGAGTGGTTGAATGCAGAGTCTGCTGAGTGCCCAGAGGAGAAAAGAACCGGGTATGGATGAACGTAAGTAAAGTCTACCACTACTTGGCAGGGCACTGGATACTTACGGTGAACAAAACAGACATCATTTATCTTTCCCTCATGAAGCTCTCAGTCCAGAGTGACGTGATGCTGGGAAACAATAGCGTGGGTAAAGAGCCAGTTTTCTGCCCAGGCAATACAAGGAACTAGATCAAAGAGATTGCATTCCATAAGTATAAAGTTATGTGGGAAAATAGGAAAGGGTAACAGTTTAGTGTAAGTGACAAGTATGGAGAACTTAGAAATCCTCAATAAATATTTACTGAACGAATGTTAAATGAGGAATAAGAAGAAATTTAGCTCTACAAAACTAAACGGGAAAGGCAACAGAGAGAGAACAGATATAGGAAGAAAAAACACATGGAAACAGTTTATGCTTTTCAAATGTTCTGAATAATATTTGGGAATAAAAGCTGTTCTTGCTATATCTGCTGCTTCCAGTAAGCCTGAAATATTTCCGTGCTGGTCGCTTCTGCCATAGTTGGGCTGCTGAAGAACTCATTCCCAGCCAGACTGTTTCATTCTTACCTATTCAAGAGTGTGGGGATTGTGGGAAGCTTGGACTTTGACTCATCTTCGAGAATGCTTTGTGCTCAATCAAGTTTGCTCTATGGACAGCTGTCAGATGTAGAGGTGTCACAAGAAATGAGGAATTAAGCTACTATAAATACTGAAAATGGTCCAAAGTTAGGCAAAATTCCTATGAATGCAATTTTATGGCAGAATGTTAGAGGAAGGTAGTTCCTTAAAAGCCTTAAAAATGATTTATATTTGGGGCACCTGGGTGGCTTAGTTGGTTAAGCATCCGACTTTGGCTCAGGTCATGATATCCCCTTTCATGGGTTCAAGCCCTGCGTCGGGCTCTGTGCTGACAGCTCAGAGCCTGGAGCCTGCTTCAGATTCTGTGTCACCCTCTCTCTCTGCTCCTCCCCTGCTCATGTTCTCTCTTGTTCTCGCTCTCAAAAATAAATAAACATTTAAAAAATTTTTAAATGATTTATATTTAAAACTCTGTATTAAACAATAGAAAACATGAAGAAAAAAAAGAAACATTTATAGCACAACCCCTAAGGATAAACCAGGGATGACCCATTGGGTATTTAGAATGTGTTCCTGACTCAACAAAATATATTGGGCCCTGCAATTGATTCGTGCCCTAATGTATGGCTGTGGAAAAGTATCTGTGCACAGCATCTTTTTTTTTTAATGCTTATTTATTTTTGAAAGAGAGACAGTGTGCAAGTGGAGGGACGGGAGACAGAGAGAGAGTGAGGCACAGAATCCAAAGCAGGCTCCAGACTCTGAGCTGTCAGCACAAAGCCTGGTGTGGGGCTTGACCTCACGAACCATGAGATCATGACCTGAACTGAAGTCGGACGCTTAACCGACTAAGCCACCCAGGTGCCCCTGTGCACGGCATCTTTAATAACCATCTGAATGTTAAGAAATTTCCCATTTTTCTAAGAAGAAAACTGAGAAATTTTTAGCAAAATTGACTATGTAACTTAGAGGGACATAAATGAAATAAATGTAATATTTATAATATGTAATCTATTAATTTAGACATAAATAGTACTTTAAAGCACATACCATGTAAAATAATTTTAGAAGTATTGCTCTTTTCCCACCCTTAAATTTAATGAAACAGTTTTAGCCCAACTCCCCCTCCCGTGCATTCTTGACATCAGTATGGTGGGTGCCATCTTTTCAGGAAGCTGGCATGTCTCCAGCACCTGTCATCTGGAACCCCGTCTAAGCTGCTTGGGGTGCAAGACTTGGGAAACTGTCATCATTGGAAATTTTTTCCTCAGCTACAAAAACCCACTTAGTACTCACGATCTCCAATAACCATTTATTCTATGACTTTTTTTAGTGATCTTTAAAATACTTGTTTTCAGCGACACCTAACACTTTGAACTGTTAGGTCATGCCTCTCAAAATAATTACTAAGTCAGTATTAACATATGCCTTTGCTTCTGTTTTTACCAGCTTCATCAAGTGAATGACTGCTAACACCATCCAAAACTCTCACCAGTAGGCATTGTTTCAGGTTAATGCAACTTCCCTAAACAGCTCATTGTTCAAAATAAAGTAATTGAGAGAGTGCCCAGTATCGTGAGAGACGTTAGGAGGACTTGAGTATAAAATGCCTCTTTTCCTGAGGGATAATTTTGGGGAAGAAAAATCTCACTTTAAAATTCGTCCATATTATAGTTTAAACATGAGAGGGATTCATACAAATCTCTTTTCTGTTCTTATGCAAAGTGACTGTTGAATATGAAAGCTTTTGTCCACCTATAAAAATATCTAAAGAAATGGGTGAGCTGCCTTATTTTTCATTTAAATAAATTGAATAAAAATATTTTTAAAAATCAAAAGGATATAGTAGGATTGCAATGTATTTATCTTGTATAGAAACACTGAAAATATAGGTTCATAAAGACTGCTGCCTTGAAAATATTCATATTGGAATCTTTTAAGAACTGCAACTTCTCCCCAATTAAACTTCCTCCCAACCCCAAACCACATCTATTTAAAGTTTAATACAAAACAAACCAACAAACAAAACAGCAGGAAATATTTAGAATAAGTATTCTCTTAAGGATCTGTAGCACAAATTTTTGAAACTCAAAATGAAAAATTTAGGCAAGAGAGGGGCTGGATTTCCCTACAGTCTTCCTCTCTCTTTAAGATATATTACCTTATATTGTTTCCATTCTTTTCATCTAAGTATTTCCAAGAGAATCAGACTAAAAGAACATATTACAGATTAGGTGGCAGCTTTTTGATTGATATGGTTGAAGACAGCATATGGTGTATTCTTTCCTTTCAAACTGTTTTGAGTCTTTGTTCCTGCCCACAGAATATACAGTATTATATGAGAACTATCCAGGAACTTCCCAGTGGTACATGTATGTACTATGCATCATTTAAAGAAGCGACGAGCATTTTGCCATTGCGTCCTTTATTATTTGAAGTAACTCAAATCAAGAGATACAGAGCTTAAAATAAGCTCTGTATTATTTTAATACAGAACTCAAATTCTTTAAGATCTTATAATTCCATAAAATTGTAAATGCTGTTTTAAAATGTTAATCAGAAAGATGCATTTGTTTTAATTCTTGATACTGAAAATATTGACTGAATTGTGAATTAACACATTTAGGGTTGCAGATGTCATTTTTCATGAGATTTCCTGAATGATGTAATTTTCATATTTCATATAGCAGTTTGATCAATTTACAGATTTATTTTACATAATTAGTTGGTAAATGAGAAATTCAATTGCTGATATATAACTATTTCTCTGCAATATAAAAAAATAAGTTAAAATTCTGAATTATAAATAAAAAAACAAATATTTTGAAGACATCTGGTCCACATCTGTCTGAAATAAGATAATTTAAAACAGTGCAATTAAATGCAAGAAATACCAAAATATTCACACCTTAGAATGTAGAAAATAACTCATTTCATCTTAATGTGATTTCTTGAAATGATTATTTTTTTTTAAATTTTCATGTCCTTTAGCCCCTCACTCTGTCTTTATAGGGAAGACTGACAAGCTAAACAAACAAAAATAACCCTTGTTTTTCAAAGCCTCTACTAAATGAAAGAATTATCTTTATTACTATTCTTTTATGAGTTGACTAACCTCCACTCCTGAGTTAATACTCAGTGGACTTAGACTCAGGCCTACCCCCTTTTGATGTATTTATAATTCTCCATTCAATTATTTAAAATGAGAGATTAGTGAGAGAGTCTGTAATCTCGCTCCCCAAATTGTGCATTCCTTGTGGGCACAAAGGGGCTCAGTAAATGTGAGAGGAAGGTATTCAGACCCATGAAAATGAAAAACATCTTTGGTACATTCTCATGATCAGTGGAGAATCGTCCTTTGAAGACTGGTCTTTTCTTTTGTTAAAAACCCATGTTAAGTGGAAAATTAACCATTTTAGGAGAAAGGAAAATACACTAGACTTTCTATAGTCTAACCAAAAAAATGTGAAAAACAAGATAGATTTTTTTCCTTTCATAAAAGGCTGCAGAGCCTTAAGATTTCAATAGAACTGGGTTTTGATTCATGAGAGAGAAGTTACATTCATGAAATCACTCAATGCCGATGCTACAATTTAAGGTTATAGGGAAAAAAACTCTCTGCTTGGATGTCAGAAGCTCTCTTAACTGGCAATAGATGTGAAAGGAACTGATACTGTGAGAAGTGAAAACATCGTTCCTAACAAACACCCTAAGGTTTGACAAGTTATATTTTGTGTGTTTATTTCCAGGGAGCACGATAAAGATCCGGAGAGTTTTTTTAAGGTATTAATGCATCTTAAGGACTTAGGACTCAATTTCCATGTGTCTGTCCTTGGAGAAACCTTCACAGATGTCCCAGGTATCTCTTCTGAATTTTCTAATGTGCAATGTTATAGATGACATAAGCTCTACAACTTAAGTATTAATTTCCATGTTTCCCTTTGTTAGAATAATCAAGATGAGCACTGTTAACCAAAAGATTATACGATGGCATTAAAGTGTGATTCAATTAAAAAAATACTTAAGTAAGCATTCTTTGATTTAAGTTGAGAACGTGAAGTCATCTCTTTTATCAAATATAGTTTATACAATGTAACTTGATGTAAATAAAATATATTGCTTTAGGCATCTTAACACTTAAGGAAAGCGGGAATTTGTAATTGGATGTACAACCTCTCACCTCTGGGGTCACTGGTTTGAATCCTCCTCACGTTGGTAATGGCCGAAATACATTACCATCTGTTAAGGTGGACTGTGTAAAGCATTTTGGCACCAGGCTTGTAATGTGGAGTAGCCCTCGTCCACTTCATCGTTATCATTGGCCTATGCTTGGTTTATGGAGTTGAGAAAACAAATGAAACTCTGAAGCTGATAGCATCAGGTCTTCTCATCCGTCATGCCACATGGAGCCTTTTCAGAACCATTCCCTACACCCTCATCCTCAGTGGGTATGTGTGGGTCCATAAGACAAGCATTCTGACCTCTTTCATAAGAGCTTAATTGCTCATATTATTTTAATTGAGGAATAATTGACATACGATATTATATTACTTATTGTATTAGTACAATAGTGATTTGACATTTGTATACATGGTGGAAACAGGCACGAATATAAATCTAGTTGGAATCTGTCACCTTCCAAAATTAATGCAATATCATTGACTGTGTTCTCCATATTGTTCATTATATCCCTATGACTTACTTATTTTGTAACTGCAACTTTATACCCCTTAATCTCCTTCATCCATATCGACCCCCAACTCTCCTCCCCTTTGGCAACCGCCAGACTGTTCTCTGTGTCTAGGAAGCTGGGAGAGGTTGTTTTGTTTGTTTTCTTTAGATTACACATATAAGTGAGATCATGCAGCATTTGTCTTTCTCTGTCAGTCTTATTTCACTGAGCATAATACCTTCAAGGCCTACCATGTTGCAGATATCAAGAGCTTATTTTTTATGGCTCAATACTATTCCACTGTGGGGTGTGTGTGTGTGTGTGTGTGTGTACATGTACCAAGTCTTCTTTATCCATTCATCCATCAGTGGACATTTAGGTTATTTCCAGATCTTGGTTATAGTACATACTACCACAATGAACATAGGGACACATACATCTTTTCAAATTAGTATTTTTGTTTTCTTTGGATAAATACCCAGCAGTGGAATTGCTGGATCATGTGGTAGCTCTGTCTTTAATTTTTTGAGGAACCTCCATACTGTTTTCCATAGTGGCAGCACCAACTTACATTCCCACCAATAGTTCATGAGGGCTCTCTTTTCTTCACATCCTTCTCAACATTTGTTATTTCCTGTCTTTCTGATAATAGCAATTCTGATATGTATAAGGACATATCTCATTGTGCTTTTTATTTGCATTACCCTGATGCTTAGTGACGTTGAGCATCTTTTTCATGTGCCTATTAATCATCTGTATGTCTTCTTTGGAAAAATGTCTATTCCAATCTTCTGTCATTTTTTAATCAGATTTTTGGGTTCTTTTTTTTTTTTGTCATTGAGCTGTACGAGTTCTTTATATATTTTTATAATTTTTTTTTTGAGAGAGAGAGAGAGACAGCATGAGCAGGGGAGGGTCAGAGAGAGAGGGAGACACAGAATCTGAAGACAGGCTCCAGGCTCCAAGCTGTCAGCACAGAGCCCAGCACGGGCCTCGAACCCACAAACCGTGAGATCATGACCTGAGCCAAAGCCAGACGCTCAACCGACTGAGACACCCAGGCGCCCCTATATGTTTTAGTATTAATCCCTTATTGGATATATGATTTGCAATTATCTCCTCACATTCATTGGTTGCCATCACATTTTGTTGATGGCTTCCTTAGCTATGCAGAATCTTTTTAGTTTGATGTAGTCCCATTTGTTTATTTTTGCTTTTGTTTCCCTTGCCTCTGGAGTCAGAGCAAAAAAAAAAAAAAAAAAATTACCAAGGCCAACATCAAGGAGCTTACTGCCCATGTTTCCATCTAGGAATTTTATAGCTTCAGATCTTACACTTGAGACTTTAATCCATATTGAGTTACTTAATATTTATGGTGTTATAAGACAGTGCTCCAATTTTATTCTGGACAGGTAGCTGTCCAGTTTCCCAACACCATTTGCTGAAGTGTCTTTTCCTTCCCCAGAATACTCTGTATTCTGTTCTATTGATCTATGTATTTGTTTTAATGATGATACCATATTGTTTTGATTACTATAGCTTTGTAGTGTAGTTTGAAATCAGGGAGCATGAAACCTCCAGCCTTATTCTTCTTTCTCAAGATTTTGCCTATTCATGTTCTTTTGTGGTTTCACACAAATTTTCGAATTATTTGCTCTAATTCTGTGAAAAATGTCATTGGAATTTGATAGGAATTTCATTGAATCTGTGAGTTGCTTTGGGTAATATGGACATTTTAACAATGTTAATTCTTCCAATCCATAGCATAGAATATCTTTCCATTTATTTGTGTCTACTTCAGTTTTTTTCACCAATGTTTTCTAGTTTTCAGTTTATCAGTCTTTTATCTTCTCAGTTAAATTTCCTCCTAGATATTTTATTCTTTTTGACGTGATTATAAATGAAATTGTTTTTCTTGAATTCTATTTTTGATAGTTTGTTATTAGTGTGTAAACATGCAACAGATTTTCATATATCAATTTTGTATCCAGCATCTTCAGTGAATTAATTAGTTCCAACAGTTTTTGGTATTCTCTTTAGGGTTTTCTATATACACTATTCTGTCATTTGCAAATGGGACAGTTTTACTTCTTTCTGTCCGATTTGTATGCCTTTTATTTCTTTTTCTTGCCTAATTTCAGTGGCTAAGACTTCTGGTATTATGTTGAATAAAACTGGCTAGAGAGGGCATCCTTGTCTTGATTCTAATCTGAGAGGAAACGGTTTCTACATATGGGCTTTCACTGTAGAGTATGATGTTAGCTGTGGGTTTGTCATATATAGCTCCTATTTTGTTGAGGTGCATTTCCTTTCTACCCACTTTATTGAGAGTTTTCATGCATGGGTATTGAATTTTGTCAAGTGCTTTTTCTACATTTATCAAGGTGGTCATACGCTTTTTATTTTTCATTTTGTTAACGTGGTGTATTACATTGATTGGTTTGAAGATATTGAACTTTCCTTGCATCTCTGGAATAAATTCTACTTGATCAAATTATAGGATCCTTTTAATGTATTGTTGAATTCGGTTTGCTAGTATTTTGTTGAGAGATTTTACATCTATGTTCATCAGGAATATTGGCCTGTAATGTGTGTGTGTTAGAGAGAGACAGAGACAGAGAGACAGATGTCCTTGTCTGCTTTTGGTATCAGAATAATGCTAATCTCACAAAATGAATTTGGAAGCTTTGGTCTGAAGTGTGGTAGAATAGAACCATAGTATGGAGGATCTTGATAATCAAAGTAGATTAGGTAAAAGTAAGAAATAAGGAACCTAGATCTTGAACAGAAAAGAAATGTGATGAAACTTGTATTTTAGAAAGCTTTATCTTTCAGTGATATGTAGGCAGATTCACAGTAAGACACTACAGTGATAATCCAAATGTAATTCTTGTGGTGGTGGCTGAGAGATTAGTGAGAGGGATGTGTGACAGAGGTATTCTCAAGGAAAACACAGAAATGAATTTAAAAGATGGATAGCTGTAGAAGGAAGGAAGAAAAATTCTGCTCATTTGCAAAGCTGGTGAGTTCAATTTTGTGTGGCAGCATTGAGGTGTTTGTGGATGGACTGAGAAGTGTGGCTGGAAGAAATCCCTAAGCAAAAGGCTTCTCAGCCAGTTTTACTATCTAGTAGTTTTAAGCTAGCACTACAGAAAAGACTGAGGTTTTACTCTTAGGGCCGTGGTCTTGGGATCACAGTCTCCCCCTCCCACACATTCACATTGAGCTGTTTAGAGCAGTATGGAAGGTTGAAAGTGGAGTGGGGAGCGTTAGGGGCCCAAGTACCGAGTGCTCACTAGTTATAGGTCTAACCTTATTACCTAACTTTGGCTTGACTTCAGCATATATTTGCTAAGCACTCAGGAAAGGAATTCCACGGTGAAGAAGATTTGGTCTCTACCTTCAGGGAGCTTTGCCTTGGGTAGACACTTAGGGACACTTAGGGACAACTAACAGGTCCCTAAGAAGCTGTGAAATAATTAGGGAATGCCTGGGAAACCCAGAGGAAGGAGTATCCCATTCCCTATGATATTTCTAGTCTCAACTGAGGCTCCTTTTTGCCTTAGCCTCTAGTCCACTCTATCCTTCCAGACGTGACTCCGCTCTCTTCATGGTCACAGCACTGCACCTTGCTCACAAAAGCAATCCAAGTTGGCGGGTGGATGAACGAGCCTGGTGGCTTTCCAGGTTGTGTTTCTAGAAGGCCACCTTGCCAGTCTTTACTCCAGAGTTCTCCTAACAGGCCATTCTTTGTGTTTTCAGCTGTTCTTAACGTTGTCCTGGTTGAACAAACACTTCTGTAGCACTCACTGTATTCCAGGCATTGTTCTAAGCTATTTACAAATGTTAACTCTAATTTTTCATTGCAGTCTTGTTCAGTATTACTATCTCCACTTTTCTCAGCTTGGGAAACTGAGTCACAGAGAAATTAAGTAAGGTCACATAGCTAGGTAGTACTTTTTACCACTATGCTAATGTTTTATGTGTTCTTGTTTTCCAAATCATTTCTCTAAGTTTAAACGTATTTTTCCGCAGCTTGCCATCTAGCACTTCACAAAAAGGTTACCTAGCAGACATACATTTATTTGCCTCTTATCTCTTCTAGATGCTACATTAGCATATCTAAAACCCATATCGTAAACCAACTTACATACTCTAATGTCAGCCAGAATACTTACTCTGAATGC